ATATTAACCCCATTTTTTTGTCAATTAACCCCATTTTGCCTCCTAATAATCCTATTTTTGTGTCTATTAATCCCCTTTCTTGTCATATTAACCCCATTTTTTTGTCAATTAACTCCATTTTTCCTCCGAATAATCCTATTTTTGTGTGTATTAATCCTCTTTCTTGTCCTATTAACCCCATTTTTTTGTCAATTTACCCCATTTTTCCTCCTATTAACCCCATTTTGCCTCCTAATAATCCTATTTTTGTGTGTAATAATCCCCTTTCTTGTCCTATTAACCCCATTTTTAGTCCTAATAGCCCCCTTTTTAATCAATTCACCCCATTTTTTGTCAATTAACCCCATTTTTTGTCAATTAAACCCATTCTTTCTGTCAATTACCCCCCTTTATCAATTAACCCCTTTTTTTGTCAATTAAGCCCATTTTTTCTTCAATTAACTCCATTTTTTTTTCAATTAACCCAATTTTTTTGTCAATTAATCCCATTTTTTTGTTCCATTAATCCCATTTTGTGTCTATTAATCCCATTTTTGGTCCTAATAACTCAATTTTTCCTCCTATCACCCCCATTTTTGCGTCAATTACTCCCATTTTTTCACCCTCTAACCCCATTTTTTTTTAATTTACCCAATTTTTGACCGATTCACCCCATTTTTTTTGTAATTTACCCAATTTTTGACGGATTCCCCCCATTTTTTGGGTGTCCCACCCCCCCAGGTCTGAGGGTTTAATCAATCAATCCTATTTTGACTCTATTAACCCCATTTTTTAGCCCATAAACCCCCATTTTTTTTGTTAATTTACCCAATTTTCGCCCGATTCACCCCATTTTTTTCTGTAATTTACCCAATTTTCGCCCGATTCACCCCATTTTTTTTGCAATTTACCCAATTTTTGACGGATTCACCCCATTTTTTTTGTCAATTTACCCAATTTTTCACCAATTCACCCCATTTTGGCATCAGTAATTTCATTTTGTGTCTATTAATCCCATTTTCCCCCCCGAATAACCCCATTTTTTAGCCCATAAACCCCCATTTTTTTGTCAATTTACCCAATTTTTGACCGATTCCCCCCATTTTTTTGTCAATTTACCCAATTTTTGCCCGATTTACCCCAATTTTTTGGGTGTCCCACCCCCCCAGGGCTGCGGGGGCTGATCAATCAATCCTATTTTGGCTCTATTAACCCCATTTTTTTCCCAATAACTCCCATTTTTGTGTCAATTACTCCCATTTTTTCACCCTCTAACCTCATTTTTTTTTGTAATTTACCCAATTTTCGCCCGATTCACCCCATTTTTTTTGTCAATTTACCCAATTTCTGACGGATTCACCCCAATTTTTGGGTGTCCCACCCCCCCAGGGCTGAGGGTCTAATCCATTAATCCTATTTTGGGTCTATTAACCCCATATTTTTCCCAATAACCCCGATTTTTTTTATCAATTTACCCAATTTTCGCCCGATTCACCCCATTTTTTTTGTAATTTACCCATTTTTTGACCAATTTACCCCAATTTTTGGGTGTCCCACCCCCCCAGATCTGAAGGTCTGATCAATCAATCCTATTTTAGGTCGATTAACCCCATTTTTTAGCCCATAAACCCCCATTTTTTTTGTAATTTACCCAATTTTCGCCCGATTCACCCCATTTTTTTTTGTCAATTTACCCAATTTTTGACGGATTCACCCCAATTTTTGGGTGTCCCACCCCCCCAGGGCTGCGGGGGCTGATCAATCAATCCTATTTTGTGTCGATTAACCCCATTTTTTAGCCCACAAACCCCATTTTTTCTGTAATTTACCCAATTTTCGCCCGATTCACCCCATTTTTTTTTGCAATTTACCCAATTTTTGACGGATTCCCCCCATTTTTTGGGTGTCCCACCCCCCCAGGTCTGAGGGTCTGATCAATCAATCCTATTTTGTGTCGATTAACCCCATTTTTTAGCCCATAAACCCCCCATTTTTTCTGTAATTTACCCAATTTTTGCCCGATTCACCCCATTTTTTTTTTGCAATTTTCCCAATTTTTGACGGTTTGACCTCAATTTTCGGGTGTCCCACCCCCCCAGGGCTGCGGGGGCTGATCAATTAATCTTCTTTTGTGTCGATTAACTCCATTTTTTAGCCCACAAACCCCCATTTTTTTTGTAATTTACCCAATTTTCGCCCGATTCACCCCATTTTTTTTGTTAATTTACCCAATTTTTGACCGATTCACCTCATTTTTTTTGTCAATTTACCCAATTTTTCACCAATTCACCCCATTTTGGCATCAGTAATTTCATTTTGTGTCTATTAATCCCATTTTCCCCCCCAAATAACCCCATTTTTTAGCCCATAAACCCCCATTTTTTTTTGTAATTTACCCAATTTTCACCCGATTCACCCCATTTTTTTTGTCAATTTACCCAATTTTTGACCAATTCACCCCAATTTTTGGGTGTCCCACCCCCCCAGGTCTGAGGGTCTGATCAATCAATCCTATTTTGACTCTATTAACCCCATTTTTTAGCCCACAACCCCCTTTTTTTTTGCAATTTACCCAATTTTCGCCCGATTCACCCCATTTTTTTTGCAATTTACCCAATTTTTGACGGATTCACCCCATTTTTTTTGTCAATTTACCCAATTTTTCACCAATTCACCCCATTTTGGCATCAGTAATTTCATTTTGTGTCTATTAATCCCATTTTCCCCCCCGAATAACCCCATTTTTTAGCCCATAAACCCCCATTTTTTTGTCAATTTACCCAATTTTTGACCGATTCCCCCCATTTTTTTGTCAATTTACCCAATTTTTGCCCGATTTACCCCAATTTTTGGGTGTCCCACCCCCCCAGGGCTGCGGGGGCTGATCAATCAATCCTATTTTGGCTCTATTAACCCCATTTTTTTCCCAATAACTCCCATTTTTGTGTCAATTACTCCCATTTTTTCACCCTCTAACCTCATTTTTTTTGTAATTTACCCAATTTTCGACCGATTCCCCCCATTTTTTCCGTGTCCCCCTCCCCCAGGTCTGAGGGGCTGATCAATCAATCCTATTTTGTGTCGATTAACCCCATTTTTTTCCCAATAACCCCCATTTTTTTTTGCAATGTACCCAATTTTCGCCCGATTCACCCCATTTTTTTTTTGTAATTTACCCATTTTTTGACCGATTCACCCCATTTTTTGGGATTCCCACCCCCCCAGGGCTGAGGGTCTAATCAATTAATCCTATTTTGGCTCTATTGACCCCATTTTTTAGCCCATAAATCCCCTTTTTTTTTTTAATTTACCCAATTTTCGCCCGATTCACCCCCTTTTTTTTGCAATTTACCCAATTTTCGCCCGATTCACCCCAATTTTTGGGTGTCCCACCCCCCCAGGTCTGAGGGGCTGATCAATTAATCCTATTTTAGGTCTATTAACCCCATTTTTTAGCCCATAACCCCCATTTTTTCTGTAATTTACCCAGTTTTTGACCGATTCACCCCATTTTTTTTGTAATTTACCCAATTTTTGACGGATTCACCCCAATTTTTTTGTCAATTTACCCAATTTTTCACCAATTCACCCCATTTTGGCATCAGTAATTTCATTTTGTGTCTATTAATCCCATTTTCCCCCCCGAATAACCCCATTTTTTAGCCCATAAACCCCCATTTTTTTTTGTAATTTACTCAATTTTCGACCGATTCCCCCCAATTTTTTCCGTGTCCCCCTCCCCCAGATCTGAAGGTCTGATCAATCAATCCTATTTTGTGTTGATTAACCCCATTTTTTAGCCCAATAACCCCCATTTTTTTCTGTAACTTACCCAATTTTTGACCGATTCACCCCATTTTTTTTTAATTTACCCAATTTTTGACGGTTTCACCCCAATTTTTGGGTGTCCCACCCCCCCAGGTCTGAGGATCTGATCAATCAATCCTATCTTGTGTCGATTAACCCCATTTTTTAGCCCACAAACCCCATTTTTTTCTGTAACTTACCCAATTTTCGCCTGATTCACCCCATTTTTTTTGTAATTTACCCAATTTTCGACCGATTCACCCCAATTTTTTCCGTGTCCCCCCCTTCTAGGTCTGAGGGGCTGATCAATTAATCTTCTTTTGTGTCGATTAACCCCATCTTTTAGCCCATAAACCCCCATTTTTTCTGTAATTTACCCAATTTTCGCCCGATTCACCCCATTTTTTTTTGTAATTTACCCAATTTTTTACCGATTTACCCCATTTTTTGGGTGTCCCACCTCCCTAGGGCTGCGGGGGCTGATCAATCAATCCTATTTTGGCTCTATTAACCCCATTTTTTCTCCTATTACTCCCATTTTTGTGTCAATTACTCCCATTTTTTCGCCCAATAACCCCATTTTTTTGTCAATTTTCCCAATTTTTGACCGATTTACCCCATTTTTTGGGTGTCCCCCCCCTCTAGGTCTGAGGGTCTAATCAGTTAATCTTCTTTTGTGTCGATTAACCCCATTTTTCACCCTCTAACCTCATTTTTTCTGTAATTTACCCAATTTTCGCCCGATTCACCCCATTTTTTTTTTGTAATTTACCCAATTTTCGCCCGATTCACCCCATTTTTTTTGTCAATTTACCCAATTTTTGACGGTTTCACCCCATTTTTTGGGTGTCCCACCCCCCCAGGTCTGAGGGTTTAATCAATCAATCCTATTTTGACTCTATTAACCCCATTTTTTAGCCCATAAACCCCCATTTTTTTTGTAATTTACCCAATTTTCGCCCGATTCACCCCATTTTTTTTTGCAATTTACCCAATTTTTGACGGATTCCCCCCATTTTTTGGGTGTCCCACCCCCCCAGGTCTGAGGGTCTGATCAATCAATCCTATCTTGTGTCGATTAACCCCATTTTTTAGCCCACAAACCCCCTTTTTTTTTGTAATTTACCCAATTTTCGCCCGATTCACCCCATTTTTTTTTTGCAATTTACCCAATTTTTGACGGTTTCACCCCATTTTTCGGGTGTCCCACCCCCCCAGGGCTGCGGGGGCTGATGCTGGCGGTGGTCCTGGCGGCGCTGATGTCCTCCCTCGCCTCCATCTTCGCCAGCTCCGCCGCCCTCTTCACCTTCGACGTCTACCAGAGGCTCCGCCCACGGGCGGGGCCGCGACACCTGCTCGTCGTCGGCAGGTGGGACACGCCCACCCCCCCTAATTAGCTTAATTAGCAACCATGAACTTCATCAATAACCCCCTGATTGTTATTAGTGACCTGTTAATTGTTATTAATTTCATTAGCGACCCAATAATTGTCATTAACCCATTAATTTGGGTTATTAATTGTCATTAGCGACCTATTAATGTCATTAACAGCCTATTAATTACTGGCTCATTAATTGTCATTAGCAGCCCAATTAGTTGGGTTATTAATTGTTATTAGTGACCTATTAATTGTTATTAATTTCATTAGCGACCCAATGATTTTCATTAGGGGGCTATTAATCGTCATTAATTTGGGTCATTAATGTCATTAACAGCCTGTTAATTAGGGGCTCATTAATTGTCATTAGCAGCCCAATTAGTTGGGTTATTAATTGTCATTAGCGACCTATTAATGTCATTAACGACCTATTAATTAGGGGCTCATTAATTGTCATTAGCAGCCCATTAATTTGGGTTATTAATTGTCATTAGTGGCCTATTAATGTCATTAACAACCTATTAATTAGGGGCTCATTAATTGTCATTAGCAGCCCATTAATTTGGGTTATTAATTGTCATTAGTGGCCTATTAATGTCATTAACAACCTATTAATTAGGGGCTCATTAATTGTCATTAGCAGCCCAATTAGTTGGGTTATTAATTGTCATTAGCGACCTATTAATGTCATTAAC